TGCCCCCAAAACAGAGCACATTTCTTTTCAATTATTATGGAATATATACCAAAATATATCATATTTGGGGCCATAAAAGAAGGCTCAACTAGTTAGCAGAAATGAAATCATACAGAGTGTATTCTGTGATGTCAGTGGAAATCAAACTGGAAATCAATCACAAAAAAAGAACATGAAAATCTCCAAATAGGTAGCAACTAAACAGCACACTTCTAAACAACCCATGGGTCAAAGAAAAGATTTCAAGAGAAATTAAACAGTAAACTGAACTGAATGAAACTAAAAAGACAAAATGTTAATATTTATGGGACACAGCTATTGCAAAGCTAAGAAGTATATAGTACTAAAAGCTTATGTTAGGGAAGATGAAAAGTCCAATATTAATAAATCTAAATTCTTACCTCAAGAAACTAAAAAAATAAGAAAAAGAAAAAGAAAAAAATACCAACATAAAATGAAAGAAGTTAATAACACATATAAGAGCAGAAACCAAGAAGTTAAAAACAGAAAAAAAAACATTAAAAATCATGAAATAATGAGCTGATCTCTCAAAAGAACAGTAAAATGGACAAAGCTCTAAAGGGTAACCAAGAAAACAAGAGGGACAATGCAAATTAGCTGTACCAGGAATGGAATGGGGATATCACCACTGCTCCTGCTGATATCCAAACAATAAAATAAAATAATATTATAAACAGCTCTATAGACATAACATTTGAGAGATGGCATGAAATTGATCAAGTCTTTGAAAAACATGAACTACTTAACCTTGTTCAATATAAAACAGATAATTTGAATAATCTTATAACCATTAAAGAAATTTAAATAATAATTTTAAAGTTCCTAAAAAGAAAAATCTCTAAGCTCAGATGGAGAATTCTATCAAACATTCAAAGAACTGACATAAATGCAACACAATCTCTTCCAGAAAATATAGATGTGGGAACACTTCACAATTCATTTTGTAAAGCTAATATCACCCTGAAGCCAAAATCAATCAGAGTACAGAAAGATAAAACTACATACCAATGTTCCTTATAACTATAGAAACAAAAATCCTCAACAGTGTATTAGCAAATAAAATTCATGTATATGTAAGTTACACACCATAACCAAATGATGTTTATTTCAGGAATGTAGAACTGGTTTAATCTACCATATTAAAAGCCTAAAGAAAAAAAAATCACATGATTATAGTCATCAATGCAGAAAAAAACATTTAAACAAATTCAACACCCATTCATGATACAAGTTCTCAGAAAGCAATAGGAATAGAAGGAAACTTCTTATGTTGATAAAGAACACCTACAACATTCCTCAGCTAGTATTTTACTGACTGGTGAAAAGAATGAATATATTCTCCCTAACACTGGGCACAGAAAAACACAGCCACTCTTCTCTACATTTTTTGTAAAAGTAGAGACTGGAGGGTATAGTAAGTGAAATAAGGCAATAAAAGGAAATAAAAGGCATACTAATAAAAAAAGGCAGGGATATGACTGTCCATATTTGCAAATAACATCATTTTTGAGAAAATCCCAGAGAACCTCAAAATAAACTAAAAAAAGAAATCTCCTAGAAATAAAAAATGGGTTCAGCAAAGTCAAAGGATTTAAGATACACATACAAAAGTCAATCTTATCTTTATATACTTGCAATAAGCAGGTGGACACTGAAATTTTTTTTTTAATGTTTTTATTTATTTCTAGGAGAGAGAGAGAGAGACAGCATGAGCAGGGGAGGGTCAGAGAGAGAGGGAGTCACAGATTGAAACAGGCTCCAGGCTCTGAGCCGGCAGTCAGCACAGAGCCCGACGCAGGGCTCGAACCCACGAACCGTGAGATCATGACCTAAGCGAAAGTCGGACACCCAACCGACTAAGCCACCCAGGCGCCCCTGGACGCTGAAATTTAAAGCATGATAGTAACCATTTACAAATGCTTAAAAATAGGTAGCAAGCAAACCAAACATGTATATGAGTATATCCATAAAACCACAAAAAGCTAATAGAAAAAATTAAATAGATGTAAATAAATAAACATATCATGTTCATTGACTGGAAGACTACACATTCGAAGGTTGTAGGCACCTGGGTGGCTCAGTTGGTTAAGTGTCTGACTTGGGCCCAGGTCATGATCTCACAGCTTATGAGTTCGAGCCTGGCGTCAGGCTCAGTGCTGACAGCTCAGAGCCTGGAGCCTGCTTTGGATTCTGTGTCCCTCTCTCACTCTGCCCCTCACCCACTCATGCTCTGTGTCTCTCTCTAAGAATAAATAAAACATTAAAAACAACAACAAAGGTTGTCAATTCTCCCCAAACTGACATTTAAGTTAAATACAATTTCTATCAAAGTCCCAGCAAATCTTTTTTTATAATAAAGATTGACAAGATTATTCTAAAATTTATATTGAAATCAAAGAACTTAGAATAATTTGGTTATTCTAATATAATCTGAAAAACTAACAAAGTGGGAGGAATCAGTCTACCCAACTTCAAGGATTATTATAGTTCAAATGATCAACATTGTATGATATCAGTGGAGGAAGAGACACACAGACCACTGGAACAGAATACAAAATCTAGAGATAGTACCAGAGAAATAGGCCCAAATGATCTCTTGGAAATATACAAAAGCAATTTAATGGAAGAAAACTAGGCTTTCTCTCCAAATTGTGCTGGATCAAGTAGACAGCCATAGATAAAGCAATGAACCTCAACTTAAGTCTTAAATCTTATACAAGAGTTAAATCAAAATGTAGCACAGACTTAAATGTAAAATGCAAAAACACAAAATATTACGTAAAATAAGAGAAAATCTTTAGGATTTGGGGCTAGGAAGAGAGTTGTTTTTTTGTTTTTTAATGTTTACTCATTTTTGAGAGAGAGAGGGGAGGGTGGTGCAGAGAAATAGTGAATCCCAAGCAGGCTCTGTGCTGTCAGCATGGAGCCCGATGTGAGGTTTGATGTGAAACTCGATTTTATGAACGGTGAAATCATGATTCGAGCCCAAATCAAGAGTCTGACGCTTAACCAACTGAGACACACAGGTGTCCCTAGGAAAAGAGATCAATAGCATGATCTCTAAAATGAAAAACTGCTCAGTTGGACTTCATCAAATTTTAAAACTTTTGCCCTAAGAAAGGACCTGTGAAGAGGGTGAAAATATAGTAGCAAACATTATGTTGACAAAGGACAAGTATCTAGAATATACAAAGAACTCAAAACTAAGAAATAAGCTACCCAATTTGAAAACAGACAAAAGATATGGACATAACATTTTACCAAAGAGAATATATGCTTAGCAAATACGCAAATGCAAAGATGTTGAACAGAATAAGCCATCAGGGAAAGCGCAGATGAGAACCAGAATAAATGTCACTAAACACCTATCGGAATGGCAAAGATAAAAACTGTGACAACATCGAATGCTGGTGAGGGCGCAGAGAAATGGGATCAATCATACGCTGCTGACCAAACCATGAATGGTAAAACAACTCAGGAAAACTGATGGGTCCTATAAAATTAAGCATATTACTGCCAAATAGTCTAGCAATTGCACTCTCAGACATTTATCTAAGAGCATAAAAATTTATGTTCACACAAAAACTTGTACATACATATTCATAGCAACTTTTTCTCTTCATGATAGCTCAAAACTGGAAACAATCCAGATGTCCTTCAATGGGTGAGTGCTAAATGAGGTATGGTAGATACACCTACACCACGAAATACTAGTCGGTGATAAAAAGAAACAAACCACAGGTGATCCTCAAAAAGTAAGGAAGTGCATGGGTCCCCTTATACACAGATATTTCTGTAGTACAGTGCTGCAAATGTATGTTCTTCCTTGTGACTTTATTTTCTCTAGCTTACTTTATTGTAAGAATACAGTATAGAATACATATAACATACAAAATTCATGTTAATCAACTGTTTCTCTTACCAGTAAGACCTCAGGTCAATGGTACGGTATTAGTTAAGTTTTTGTGAAGCCAAAATTTATATGCAGATTTTTGATAGCATGGGGTTTGGGGGAGGATCAACACCCCTAACCTATTATTTGTTACGGATCAACTGTATTGATAAAGAACTTGAATGATCTCCAGAGAATGAGGATGAACAGGGGAAGATGCCAATCCCAAAAGGTTGTGTTTTGTATAATCCCATTTATACAACAACCTTGAAATGGAACTCATGAACCACGAGATAGTGACTTGAGCTGAAGCCAGACACTTAACCAACTGAGCCACCCAGGCGCCCCTTGAGGGAATATTATTGTGGGGAGAAAAGCCATTTCTTTTCATTTAAGCTTTTCATTTTCAGATAATTTTAGATTTGAATGTAATGTAAGAAGTCATACAGAGATATCCCATGTACTTTTACCCAGTTTGCTCTAGTGGTAGTATTTTGAAAAATTCAAGTGCAGTATCATGACCAGGATCTGACACTGATATAGTCAAGATACACAATAGTTCTCTCACCACAAAGATCTCTCATGTTGCCTTGTTATAGCCCCACCTGCTCCCCTAATGCCCCCACCTGCCCTCTACCTCCTGCCAGTTACTAGCTCATTCTCCATTTCTACCATTTACCATTTCAAGGTTGTTGTATAAATGGGATTATACAAAACACAACCTTTTGGGATTGGCATCTTCCCCTGTTCATCCTCCTTCTCTGGAGATCATTCAAGTTCTTTATCAATACAGTTGATCTGTAACAAATAATAGGTTAGGGGTGGTTGGTTAAGTGTCAATTGGTTAAGTGTCTGGCTTCAGCTCAAGTCACTATCTCGTGGTTCATGAGTTCGAGCCCCACATTAGGCTCTGTGCTGTCCCTCTCTCTGTTCCTCTCCTACTTGTTCATGTTCTCTCTCGAAAATAAATAAACACTATTAAAAAAGGAAAATGCTCTTGAGAAGGTCCTCCTCCAGCCCTCTCTAGAAGAGGCTAAGAGTAAACACAAGAAGCAGAGTAGAGTAGTAGAGTGTCATTTCCTACATCATGGATGTGAAGTGCTCAGGATGCTATAAAGTCACCACCATCGTTAGCGATGTGCTAACAGTAGTTCTGTGTGTTCGCTGCTCCACCGTTCTTGGCCAGCTTACAGGAGGCAAAGCAAGGTTCACAGAAGGATGCTCCTTCAGAAGAAGCACTAAAAGCACCCTGAATCAACAGAGGGAAATCATCCCAATAAACACACTTTAGATTTCTTAAAATGTTAATTATTGAGGACTTTGGTAAAACAACTCATAAGGAAAAATGCAACAGGTGAGGTGTGAAGTGGTCTTCACATGATCAACAGGTTTTTGTTTATTTCAACTAAAAACCAAACAAACCAAAACCAACAGCAGTTCCAAAAGTTAAAGTTTCAAAACTGAACACTATGCGTTTTCCACACAGGAATTAAAAATAACAGTGAATACAGAGAGTGGACACTATTATTTGTTAACTCCATTTTCATTTTTTGTAGTATCATGTATACTGTTAATTGTGTCATTTCAACTCACTGATTTGGAATCAGATGTTCCTAAGAGATTTTGCTATCACAGCTTTCCAATCTTCAAAGAAACACTATTCCCTTAAACAATAGATAGTCTAAAGAAAGAAAATGAATAAAAATAAAAATAAAGAGTGTGTGCCCTTGGATCTTGTATCTAACACAGAATATGCAAGAAGAGTGCCGCTTGAGCGACCAACTCATAGTTTGGGGGTTCAAGCCCTGAGTCAGGCTCTGCAGTCTCAGTGCAGGCTCACTTGGGATTCTTTCTCTCTCTCCCCCTCTCTCTCTCCTTCTCTCTCTGGCCCTCCCCTACTCCCACTGGCTTGCGGAATGGTCTCTCTCAAAATAAATAAATAAAGTTTAAAAAAAGAATATACAAAGAGAAAATGATTAAGGTACAATATTTCTTTTTTTAACGATTTATTTTCGAGAGAGAGAGAGAGAGAAAAAACGTGAGTCGGGGAAGGGCAGAGAGGGAGGGAGACTAGAAATCCCAAGTAGGCTCCGTGATGTCAGCACAGAATCCAACAAGGTGTTCAAACTCAGGAACCCATGAGATCATGACCTGAGCCAAAATCAAGAGTTGGACACTTGACCAATGAAGCCACCTAGGCACACGTAAGGTACAGTATTTCTAAAGCATTTTCAAGCTAAGAGATTTCCAAGAAAATTAACCATGGGACCTAGACATTTTTCACTCTTTTCAAGTGACTTATCATGTTAAACTCAATGTGAGGGTGGAAAACATTAAAAACTAAATCTAGACATAGTTTATACCAATATATGCAAAAGGTTCACTAATAACTCATGATGAACAATTTCATTGCAGTTGGTCTGTACTTTGCATGATACATCACTGCTTTCATTGAACAGAACTTCAGGAAATCTGCAGCAGGTACAAACAGCAGATGTTATAAGCTCATAAATAATCCTGCTGTTAATGCCTGCTTTATGATGCCATTTGCCATTATCCAAAATGCATCTTCAACAAACATATGATGAAAAGTATAATTATGTGTATGATCCTTTTATAATTTTTTACTAATAAAATGCCTCAAACTGAGGATAATCACTATTTATCTTAATACTTTTTTGGGAACTATGGGAAAATAATTTAGGGAAAAAATGTGACGCAAATGGATACAAAAGTGCAATTATTATACAAGATACAGAGAAACATTTTAAAATCTACTCTTCTAAATGGGCTAACAATTGTCCTAAAATGTAACAGCTTAGCAAGTTAATTAAGATTTCACTGTAACTGCAAATTAGTAGGAGTGCATAACTGCCTTGTTATTAAGAGAGAAAATGAGAAATAAAAATCTGTATGACATATTTTATTCTATAAATTTAAAACAGCATTATACCACTGTCTTCTAATTTACATCAACAGAAGCGAAGATATATTCTGAACATCTCTTATTTCTGAAGCTTACAGTTTTAAGGAATGAAACTCAATTATTTTTTACCTCCAGTACTTGAAATGGCAATCATGTAGAATGTTTTATGTATTTGCCTGTCTTTTCAAAACAGAGCATGCTACTGGCAATTTAACTTTATTTGGAGAACTTGAATAATTGTGAAATAGGGACAGCCTCTCCTACTAAAAATACGGGTAAGTCGTTGCTGTGCATTTCCTTGTTTTTTTAATGGGCATTCTGGGCTTTTCCTAATTGTTGGTTGTGATGCTTTTGTTTTATGCTACTGCCAGTTTACAAGTCTCTGAAGGAAAAAGAAAACCTGCAACATTCTAATTTGATAGCTATAACTTGCTATGGACTGAAAACAAACTCCTGTTAATACTTTGTGCCAACCAAGAGGAAGCTGGAATTGACCTGAATAAAAGAAATTTGTCTTAGCACATGATCTCTGCACAAAGTAATTAAGAACCACATAAGTCCATAACATGCATTTCTTGTCTCTTTTATTTTCAGGTCCTTGGTTCTGCACTGACACTTGAGGTGGTCAGAAATCTGGTTTTACAATAAGCTAAATGGTGTATTATTTTTCCACTTAGGTTTTATTGACAGACACACTCAAAAGTGATGTGTCCACAAATTTACTGTAGACTAAAGATCCATTAAAATGAGTTTTCTTATTTTATGACAGCTTTGGTCATTTATTCAACCTATTTGATCAAGAAGAGGGTTCTCTAAAATTGTGCCATGGAATACTAGTTCTGATAGATGGTCTCCCAAAAAGCAGACTCTTCACTCCAACAGGTTTAGGAAATAAGACCAAATGTATTAAGTTTGACAAATCTGTGTACGTAAGAATGTGTGTGTGTGTGTGTGTATGTGTGTGTGTGTGTGTAAAACCTATCCAATGAAATGAGCATTCCATAAACCTTATTTTGGAAAACAAGAATCTGAAACAGTCAAGTTGTGGCCAAGACAACAATGGGTTCATCAAATTCCAACTGATTTTCTTCATCATGGGTTTATGAGAATTCTTCATTCCCATTGATTTATGTTGTTACTATGATTCTGTAGGCACAGGCAATCTGTGTCACTTGCAGATTAAATGCAGTAAATTCTCCTTGCATTCTTTCTTGTCTGAGAACCACGTGCTGAGACAGCAGGAACACAAGAGCCTGGTTCCCTACACAACTCTTCGGAACAGACTCCACCCCTCCCCTAAACTTGCACAGGAGAGCACAGTGTGTTGGACAAATAAACCTTTGTTGAGTTACACCTAGATTTCAGGATTAGTTTCTTACTGAAGTATCATCTGACGTACCTTAGCCAATACAATAGCTGGAAACTGCAACAGAGGAACGCAAAGAGATCTGATGTTAGACTTAAATTATAGATGTTCAGATATTGAAAATTCCCTATTCACTCTTTATCACTATATATACTTGTCAAGAAACAAATGTTACACTCTGCTTTTATAGGTATTCATTAAATACTCTTTGCTACGCTACTACCTGATAGGAGCTGCTGTAAACCAAGAGGGTAAAGTAATGTGAAATACAAGGTCCTTCCTCTCACAGAGCATACATCTGTATTGTAAGGAAGAAAATGCCTGGTGGGGAATCTGCTCATTAAAAAAGGGTGGCAATTTTCTCATTAGATAATTACAGCTGTAATTTCTGTTCCCTGCTAAATTTCATTTTAAAATATACTAAAATTATGGCAGTTACAGCAACAAAAAAAATGAGCCATTCCTCACTTTTTGTTGGAATGACAGATCAGATATTAAAGCAAATATGGGTATTTCTTGGTTCTCTTTAGTAATAAAAACCTATTTGAGTATAATCATTAAACTATTTCAAAACTTATTTTGGAAAAGAAATATTCTAGGCAAACTGAAATAAATTTCACTTAATTGCATAATAATACTAAATTTAAACTTCTCTTTTTTCACAAATTCTGTGCATGGAAGCAATACTTCTCTTAAGAAGCTTTTCTTAAATTTACAGAAACATCTTATTTTTTACTTATACTCCTAGCCATGTTAACCCATCACTTCCCACCTATATAAGTAATATGCTTTCTATACTATGGGGAAAATATTAATATACTGATATTTTTAACTCTACTTTCAAAAAACATCTCCCAAAGACTTCCTACACAATGTTATATGCATATGCATACATATGTACTAAATACTTCTCCTCTACTAATAATGGAACCAGAAGCTGTAATGATATATTTTAAAAGGCTGGTAAAGTGTGTTTAAAGTGTCTTGAAAATTAACAAATAAAAGGAAGTAAGTCAGCTGATGTGGTGTCCGCCATGTACTTTATGGTCTAAAAGTACTTGAGATCAATGTTAAGTTGAGGAGGGTGGTTTGAAGGAAGATTTTTGAAGATATGAATTCAATCAGTACTCCTATCTCTACTGTTAATAATAGAATGAAATAAGACAATTTCATATTATAATTGCAAATGACATCCAAGTTTATGACTAAAAAATACTCAACTGGTTTCATTTTGCTCATAATTTAAAACAATCATCATTTTGTTTCAACTTAGTAAATAAGAGCTTACCTTCAAGTTCACTAAATATTATAACAATAGTGACCTAACTCTAAAGATCACAAGCTTATTGTTACTTTTTCCATTCAATGACAGCCCTTGTTCTGTTTTTCTTTTTTCTCTGCAACTATGTTCAGGCACCAATGCTTTTGCGGTAAATTTCTTTTTCTCCATTAATTTTCCTGAAGAAAGAAGATACAAGATCAAGAACTAATAATAACATCATATTATTAGAAACATTTGAAAGATTTTTAAAAATTTTTTTAACATTTTTATTTATTTCTGAGAGACAGAGAGTGAGCGGAGGAGAGACAGAAAGAGAGGGAGACACAGAATCTGAAGCAGGCTCCGGGCTCTGAGCTGTCAGCACAGTGCCAGGCATGGGCCTCAACCTCACAAACCATGAGATCATGACCTGAGCTGAAGTTGAAAGCTTAACTGACCGAGACACCTGGGCACCCTAGAAACATTTCAGATCTAAGAAAGAGCTAAATGTGACAATATAGGAGTTTACTGTTATGTAATAATAAACTATCACTATATAAGATATGACCACTTTTTTTGTGGCTTTATGGATAAGAATTTGGATAATTTTTTGATAACTGTCCCTCCCTCCAACCCCCACCAAAAAATACCCTAGAAGCGTTATTGGCCAACCCAGTATTCAATACAGAGACTATCAGAACCCAGGTAACCTAAAAGGCTGCTGGTGAGCAATGGAAT